TTTTTATTTTTTTATATAAATTAATTATAAAAATATATAATTAATATTTTTTTAATATGTACTCATAGAGTATAGATAAATCCTTAATACTATTAGAAAAAAATGTTTGGTCAAAGACCTAATAATTAATGATAATTAAGGTATAAACAAAGAGAAAATATTCATGTTTAGTCATCTCATTCACACCTTAAAATACTAATCACACACTAATTAAACACGAACTTGTCTAACTTGTACCCGTTGATTGCACTTTTTTCCTTCTTTTTTTTTTTTTTCTTTTTACAGAAAAATAAATACTTTATTGATAAAAGGCGAAAACAAGAGTACAGCAACACATTATATATTATTGCCTCCAAATCCTACTTGAACTCACCCAATGCTATTATTACACTGTTCTCCAAAAAAAATAGATGAGTGGCTTAAGTTAACCCCAGAAACCTCGAGCTACTTTTAAGTAAAAAAAAACAAAACTAAAATCCTAGAAATTGAAGAGAGTAATCGCATATAAAGAGTTCCTTGTCCTAATTAACCACAAAAATCCCTAATCCAAAGTATTAAGTTTTTTTTTTTTAAAAAAAAAAAAAAATAAAAATTGCATAGTTTTATTAAGAGGGATAAATATTATAGCTCTCAACTATGCAGTGCCATCTAGGCTAAAACAAGAAATATAAATCACTAGAAATGTACCCATAGCACTAATACAAAGAGCTATTGCTTAAAACAAATGTGAAGAATTAGGCAAGGAGAGCCTCAAGGTATTAGTGAATGCTATATGGGCATCAATAGGGCCATGAACACCATGAATAGGTTATACATGAGCTTTATGTCACCTCTAAAAACCTCACCTATCTTACCACCCAATTCTAGTACGAGAGATCAAAGAGCTAGGTGATGTAATGTCTCCCATCACTTCAATGCTTTGCCCTTCATTGAAGACCATGCTCTTATCCTGTAGATGAATGGAAGTCGCCCATTTGCATTGCAAAGGTAATATCCAAATTATTCATCTGAACTTTAGTTGCTCTACTACCAATAAGTTCATTAGGGCAGATTTCTTTTTCTCATTCCCTTCCTTTTTCTTGTCAAGAGATAATAACAAACCATGCCCAATCCACTTCTAGGTCTTCCTCAAACCATGCCATCCTTTCTTTAATGTTGTTGCCAAATGTTGGAAGGGGCACATCACCTAAGAGGGAGTTCAAGAGCTGTTGTGTGAACAATAGATTCATAAAGGAATCACCTGGTAAAACAATCTCCTTCCTTTTTTTACCTTCTTCCTTCTCTATGTTTCTTGCTCATTGCTAGTCTTATGGTAATTCACAAATAATCATCTTTTTTCCTTACTTACATCCCTACATTCTTCACATCAAATAGAAGATTTAGCCATAGCTAAGAAGGAGATTTGGATCCCTTGGTTTTCCAAGCTTTTTACCATCAAAGATGGCAACAATTTGCTATCTAAAAGCACCAAATCCTCCATCACCTTTGTCCCACAAACATTCTTAAGCAATGCCCTCAACTAGGAATCATAAGACTTAGAAACTATCTGCCCTACCTTTTTAAGTTTAAACCAATGTCGTAATTAGAGTTGATATACCCCATACAAGCACATATATAACAAAAATCTAGAAATCTCTTATATTTGATTTTTAATTTTCTAGTATTAGAAGCTGAAACCTATACATTCTTAAACCTCTGTAATGAATTTCTCACCTCTAGGTTAATACCAACTTGTAAAGCTTTGGTGTATGAGTCATCAAACTCTAAAACACATCCCATAGAACTACTAACCATTTGTGCAACTCTTGCTCTATGAAGACCATATGGGAATCCAAATGAATGAACCCAAAAGGGACACATTGAAATCATAGTCCTCTAGGGCTTTAGATTTGTCAAACCACTTCAAAATTATTAAGGAT